TTTACATAGTTATTATAGCTATATATACACATATATAATGTTAAGTGCTATTGCAAGCTTTTGAGTGCACACAAGAGGATTCTTTCTTCCTTTGATTATAGTTACATGACAGAGACAGAAAGAAAAAAAAATTATGCTGTTGACAATTCACTGAAAAAAATGAAATTACTGTCTTGATACTATACTTGATTACAATGTTTAATGTAGGTATTTCTTTCACATACTTCATCAGTTACATGATAAATGAGCACCTTTTTATGCCTCAGTCATTTCCCACGAGACAATTCTTTTTCATTTTGTGATTTTGTTACAATACCTAATATTCTGGTAATTTTGAATTAGGAAGACATAAGCTGCTCTTTTGGTACATGTATGTATGAGCATGTATCAAGGACATCAAAACCAATAGAGTTCCCTTTACAGTATCTGTAACTCAAAATACACTTGTATTTTATATGACTTCATGCCTTATTTTTGAATTTGCTTATCTTCTAGTTGCATTGCTAGTTGAAGGAATCAAATTTTATCCTTTGTATTCCAAAACTGATCCATTTTTCTAGATCCTATTTTAATTATCCATAATAGACAGGCAAAATCTATTTTAAATAAACTACAGCTTTTTTTTGCTTTTAATTTAAGCTCAAACATCATTAGAAAGTCCCTGAATTTTCTGAAGTGTGAGTAGGTAATACCCTTTTTTACTTTACCTTTTAAAAATTACTTACACTTCTTCAGTTTTGTTCTTTTAACACTGTTTTAAAGGCTGATGATTTCCAGTTAGTTCCTCTACACCATTATTTAGCCTAATAAATTAGCAAGGTAGAATTTGGGAAATATTCCAAACTAGAAGACATTTTAATTAATGGACACTGTGGAAAAGACTGCTGTCTATCCCTTTTCTGTACCTTAATAAAGAGTCATAGAAACACTTAAGTTGGAAAAGACCTCTAAGATCGAGTCCAACCTTTGTATCTCCTTCTCCGCTTGTATATTGGCACACAAAATTGCTTTTGCTATTTTTAACTAAGGTTGTTGGACATAACTTACCAAAAATAAATGGAAATGAGCAAGTAGTTTCTTCTGATACTATTTACAATGCAATACATGTTACCTTACTTCACCTCCTGCTACACCACTCCCAGTATTCTCAGTCCATTCATTCTAATCAGTTACTTTGAATTCCAACTCCTTTTCTGTATGTATGCAGAATTATCAAGTATTCTTTATAGTTCACGTAATCTTTACTAAATAATAATTAATATCCATAAGTAGAACACAGGATGCTAGATTGTCCTAAACTATAAATCTATGTATGTTTTGGAAAACCTACCAAGTAGATAATCTGTGGTGTGAAATCTTGTTCTAAAAACACAGTTAGTTCCTTTTAAGAAAATAATTTGATACTTCAAATCTCTGTGCAAGGGGAAGTATGATTGCACACTGGCTATTCAGGATGAAAGTTGTTTTAGGCAAAGTAGAAGCCTGAGAAAAGTAAATGATAAGGAGAGTGAGGTGAGAAATGGATCCAGCTTATCACAATTAAATTTAGGTATCAAAGTGAAGGTGTCTGTGGTGAGGTATCTTTCTGTGCTTTATAGTTAACAGCAGCCTAATCAGCAAGACTAATGTTACAACACCAAGAGTGTCCCACTTCTGAATGGAGTCACTTTCCAATCTGCATTGTCTGTAATAGAAAATTAGATTCTTAGCTCGTGGTTAGATACTTATGTTTAGATACAGTAATTTAAGTGTTCCAAGTTCAAGTGAAATCCCAATTAATGTGTCACATAGCTCATTACTTTGATTTTTTGGACTTGTGCTGGTACACAGAGCAACATCCTTAACAAAAATTCATCAGGTAGCTGTGGACAGACTTTCAAAATATTTAATAATATAGTCCTGATACTTGTTTGTATGGGTGACACTAATTGTATGTAAGCACTGTTTTTGTGCCAGCTGCACAGGTTACTTTTTTCCTTGTGTCATCTTAACTCACTGGTTTTTGCCAACTGCATTGTTTTCCATGTGTCTGCACTGCCACGTCCCCACGGAATGTTGCGTAAGCGGTGAGTGGGTGCTTGTGTTCCCGTGGTTGGTGACAGGGAGGCCAGAGGTGTAAAGCCAACCCAGGGAGGAGCTGGGTGAATCCATTCAGAGGTGTTGGTACTCATAATCCTCCCAAGAAGGATTTCTGTCTGGCTGTCCAAAGCCAAAGCCCTCAACCCTGGAAACCTCAAAACAGTGACACACGTATCTTGCATAGCATGGCTTATATGTCCAGGAGCCAGCGTGGCAAAGACCAAATACTTCCCCAGAGAAATTGGGAAATGCAGAGCTTTAGCAACACTGTTTTCTACAGTGCACTGAGTAACTGAAGGGGATATTGTAAGTAAACAATGTGCACAGCTCTGCCTGGGCATAGAAACATGGACTTCACACAGTAAAAAGTAGAAGAATTTTGCTCATCCATTTCTCTTCACATCTTCCTTTACTTAGCTTATCCTGAAGCTAGTTCATGTCCTTCTCCACAAAAGATTCTTACCTTCTCCTTTGAACCCTCTACCTGTTTTCCTCTTCTTTCCGAAGGTCTTGTTCCCACTGGAACAAGTTCACGTATTTCTGCTAAGTACAATCTCCGATCAACTTGCTGGATTTTAGGATTGGAAAATAATACTTAGAGAATCAAGATAGCATGCCAGCAGGTACTCACCACTGTTTGAAACTTAAAAGTGAAGGTAAGAATTAAGATTGTGTTCAGGAGCACAGAAATCTGAAGAGATGGTTAAAATTACTGCAGTTCAAGGCAGAGTTTTGTTTTCAGTTTTTCCTTTGTTGACTACAGCAAATCTCTTGCAAAGATGTTGTGGCAATTTTCTTTTCCTGTTTAGCAGTACACATACCAGTAATTCTGTTGGATTCAGTGTTTCTTGTGCTATTTATTTTGCCAAGTGTCTTAAGGTCTTTCTTACTAAATGAGGAGGGGGTTTAGAACAAATATTAAGACAACCTTAGCTAAATCCTCATGATAAATTTGGCTGTGATGCCAAAATAGCTTCTTCGTTGTGGACTAATTTTTCATCCCCACTCCCTGTCATTCTTTCCTATAGCTTCACATTAGAGAATCCTCCTGTCACAAGGGAAGCTTGTGTGAGAGCTGACTCTCCAGAGCCTATTCCAAGTCTGAAAACACACAGTGCTGTCAAGTACAGGACAGATTCTGTTAAGTAGAGAAGACTTTAAACTGCCAAGTGGATCTTGACACAAGAGAATTTGACCCTACACATTCAAGTTGCAACTCTGTTTCTGAAATAAATCTGTGTGACAGTTTTTGTGTTTTGCCTTGTTCAAACGTGCAACTCTTTGGTCCACAGAATAACACAGTTTAAGTATAGGAACACCATTTGCTAATGTCAAAACATTGTTTATGTACAATTTAATCTCCTGTGATGGTGTATTTATTTGCTGTATACTTGCTTGAGTTATTTTCATCAAGAAATTCTGTCTATGTGTTGCTTTGGCAACATCTTTGCAGAGTTTACAACTTTGAAAAACATGTTGGCATCAGCTATGCAGTCCTTTTAAACAGCTGCTCTGCAGTCATGCTGTTTCAACATGCCACCACACATGGCTGAATTATGCAAATAGTTAATATTAAATGACTGAGATACAAGAACAATTTGTACACTCGATAAAGCTGGTCTGTGGAGTGTAACTTCCATTCATGTAACTCAGTTAGTGTTCAACAATTTAAAGGCTTCAGCATGTTTCTTTTGACTTTGTTTCTTGTATTAAAGGCAGCAGTGGACAGAGAGAAGGTATATGGCAGGAGTATTTTAAAAGGCTGATGGGTTTTTTTTAACTCATTACTAATAATTCAATGAAAATAGAATGTACATCAGTGTCATTTTCTAGCAGGTATTAAGTAGGTAAGATTTAACAAATATTTGTCATTCAGCTATAAACACAAATTACCCTTTTCTGATTGAGAGATGAGACAGAATGTTAATTATATATAAGGCTAATACAGTAACAGTGTTGCTTATTGAAGACAACACCATTTGTAAAAAGCAAGCAAACAAAAACATTAATGTTTTAAAACATGTAAAATTTAATACTACTAATACTAATAATAATAATTAATTTACATTAATTATTTCTCCTTCTTTTTACATTCTGTAACTTATTTTATAGTAATCGTAACCATTACATGGGGGAGAGAGGGAACATTTGGAGGTAGATGTGGTGAAACATGACAAAAGAAGATGTGCAGTTAAAGTCAGAAAATGCTATGTTTTTTCCTTTATCACTCTACTGTACATTTTGAATAATCTGGTTTGTTCAGATTTAAGTATTAAGGAAAGATTACATTTTTAATTCAAATTGTTTTTATAGGATATCAAAAAAAAGGGCTGCATTTCTATATATTCTTATTCCTTTTTCCACACTGGAACTTTCATTTTTCACAAAACTTATTTTCCATTCTGATCCTATTTTTACTGTATATCCTCTAAAGGTTCTTCATTGATTTTTCTTTTCTAATCTGGATATAAAGAAATATATCCAGATGATAAAGAAATAGTAAGGTATTTATAATTTTCTGTGCAAGACCTAGTGCTCCAATGTACAAGTTGCCAAAGTCATTCAAATTAGATTTGTACAGTCCCTCAGCCTGAAAAAATAAATGCAAAAGAATTCTTTTAAGTGGAATGGAAGTCAAAGTTAAAAGAGATAATGTGCTTCTTACTACACAGTAAATGTTCTCTTTTACAGCCTTTAAGCAAGACAAAATTTGAGTTTTATAAATCCTCTGTGCTTATTTTATTTTCTTACTTTGCTAGGATTGAAGTAGTAATCTTATTAATTATAGCAAGTATATATTCTTTTTTACATTTATGGATCTATGTTTGCTGAATATAAATTTATTATTAACAAATAAATATTTATAGGTTCCAATGTAATTTAACTTAATAACTTAGCATTGTTCTTTTGTGGTTTTATAGGAATTAGCCACAATGAAGCAGATTATTTTTACTCTACGTGGTAAAGGCTGCGAACAAAATCTACCTCGGTCTCATATTGGTGTAAAAAGTGCAACTGGAAAACAATCAATCCCTTTGGTAAAACTGCTGCCAGAACATGAAGAAGAAAATATATTTACACCTAAGCCAACATTATTTGTAAGTACTGTGATAAGAGTAAGTGCCAAAACTTCTGATGGTTCTCCTCACGGTTTAAAAAAAAAAAAAGTGGATTCATCCTTTAGGGAGATGTGTAATTAATTCAGCTCTTTATGGAAACAGTCAGTGTCAAGGAGAAAAATTAGAGTTTTTGATGTTTTTTAATGATTTGGTTACTTTCTATATCTTAAGTTCACAGCAAACCAAGTCTTTTAAAAAAAAATACCATTGTTGTATCACAACACTGAGGGGCTAGTAAGATTTTAATAGTTGTAGGGATTCACAGACCATGTATACTAATTTAAATCTCTTATGATTGTGTGTAAGTGGAGTTTGTACATGTCTATATTAAGAAGCAGGAGTGAGGAAATAGGTGTATTTCTGCATGCTTAAATTGATATATATTAATATGTATGTGCTTATGTATCTAAATATATATAAAAACAGAACACCAGTATTGATATCACTTCTGTTGCTATGGAAGCCTGATGTTATAAAGTCAGTATAAAACCCTATTTTATTCCTTCACAAACTAAAAACTTGGCTTTTAATATTTGAATTGGCCCACTTCAGATTTAGTGCCTCTGGTATTGGAAAGTTTCCTGAAAATGGTTTAGAAGTTTCTGACTATGACTGTGTCTGAACTAATAGATTCAAGACAGCCAAGTTGAAATGCTGAATCACAAAGCAAGTCATTACTCTTATTTACAAACTTCATAATGCTACCTTTCTCTGGGGCGAACTGGATGTATCCACACTGCATAACATATGTGCTGATTTGGTCCAAAGAGAACTCTTTTTTTCTTTTTTTTTTTTTCTTATTTTGTTGGGGTTTTGGTTTTGTTTTTCCTGGTAGAAACTTTAACATACAGTGCCTTAAATAATATGAGGTTTGTAGTGTAGCACACCCATGTATTGGGTGTATAATACAAAAAGTAGGAAACAGTAGCATCTCTGGGACATGACATGAGAACATTTAGGAGTTCAAATTCTGCTTGAATAGCATTGTTAGACTAAACACAGGCTTACCCAGTGCTGTTTCATCCACAGTCCTTTCGGTAGTGCTAAATCATACTGCCCAAACTTTGTTTTTGATGGAGCTATTCAGTGATCCGAAACATAAGCAAACAGTTTGTGAAAATGATCTGGGGTTTCCTTGCATAATCTGTCCTGTCTTACTTAGGCATATAGAAATTATGTAGGAATACAGAAAAACATTCCAGTAAGAAATTGTAACCAGTTTCTCTGTGAAAAACTTTAGCCTTTGCAGACTTAGGAGTAGAGAACTGAAAATGGGCAGATGGCACAGGTTTTCTTCTTAAATAGGAAAAGAAATCAGTAGTCCTGTGAAAATCCTGCCAGTTTAGGTCAATTTCCAGAATTCTAAAAGCTTGAACAAATAGACCAGATTTGTTTTTGTAACTGGAGTCTTCAAAAATAATAAAGCAGACTTTTAAATTAAATTATTTTTATGTTTTGGAAGAAAGAATGAATAGAGAGCAGTCAGAAAAGGGAACTAGAAAAGAATAAATTTAGGGACAACAGACCGAGACAGAGCTCACTAACTAAAGAGATTATACCCAACCCTGGAAGCAGAATAGTCCTTACCTTGTTCCACCTCCAACTGATTTGTTCTATTTCTATTAAAACTTAAACTATTTTATTTTATACAAACCACCACTGAATTTGCCACAAGCAATCCTGACTGTGTAGCAGTAACCCATAGGATTATGAAGGCAAGGAAAAGTTGCTCACAGGCAATTCTATGCAACTAAAATACCTTGTACAGAGTTAGAAAACTTCTGTATTCTTTTATTTTCAATTAAATATTTTAAGAACTATATTTCTGCATAAAATGTTGGTCAGTTTTGGCACACCTAAGATCTCTTTTCTAAGATCGATTCCTTTCTTAGCTGGAAAACATAGATGATGTTATTTCAAATGAAACCTATTTATGGCACAGTTGATGCTTGTTTTCATTGTGACAGGTATATTTTTTTAAAAATTAGTTCGTTTTCACCATAAAATCTGCTTTTTATAACCTGGAAATGGGGAGGTTTTAATAATGGTATGTTGTAATAGTAACTTTAAATGTGTAGTTTTGGTTTTGATATTGCATTTAAGGAAAGAACTCAACTTTGAACTACATAGGAAGGACAGAGACTTGTGTAGATTGTTTAAATTGTGTAGATTGTTTAAATTGTGTAGATTGCATGTTTTTCTTCTGTTCACTGTCTCACAAATAAATGTTCTTTCTTTTACAGACAAATAAAGAGGTACCTGTGTGGTACAAGAAACTGAAGAAGAAAACATCAGCATAGCATTTTTCAAAAATTATTCAAAATAATCCTTTGGGGAGCTTTTCTTTAAAGAAAGTTATTTTCACCATAGTGATGCTCATTTTACTGTAGAAGCAAACAACTGGTTTGGTTTTAACTGTTTCTTTTTTGACTGTCAAATACTCTTATGCTTCATAAAATAATTTCTAGATCTCTCATGTGAATAAAATGTGTGAAAATGATACATGCAATAATTTTGCTAACATTTATTTGAATTTTAAAGATAAATAAACACTAGTGTGTTCTACAAATTATAATCTGGGTAGTTAAAGGATGTGTTATTCAGGGTGTTCAAATTAACGCATGTTTCAGCCTTTTTATATTGTTTTTCCTGGACTCTGTGTTTCATGCCACATTCCTTGCAACTATTCTGACTAATGGAAATTTTCAAAATATACATGCATTAGTATTGTATTTTCTATAAAGGAAATTCATGTCAGCTGGAAACAAAATTTCCTACTGGCCTTAATTTGTAGTTCATCACTTGATGTCATTTGTATAACCAAGCAGGCATTAAAATACTTTGAAGAAGCAATAAAATACATCCTAATTATCAGCACTGATACTTAATGGGCTAGACAGTAGTGCAGTTACATCAATGTAATAATAAAAATAGAACCATGATGGGTGAGGACTGTAGTGTGCAGCAGGGAAATGGATAACTTACCATATTTAATTATATGAAAATAAGCTCCAAAGTCCAAGAACACATTCTACTTGTTTATTCCACTCCACCATCTATTCTAATGATACAAAAGTTCTCTAATTTTTCAAAGCATTCTTGACTGCGTATGGTACGTTTCTATGTATAACGTAAATACAGATCTTTTAAGTACTGCATACTGAAAATATTGCTCAGATTTAATTTAAGAGAAAGCTCTTTCTTCTTAGTGCCTTTTTCCAAACAGCTGAAGCACAGTAATACTTCCTCTGCTCCAGGAAAGCTTCAGTTTCCTTTTTTTTCCATTTTCTTGTTCTGAGAGACCAAGGTAAAAATGCTGGCAATTGCACATCACAGGTGAAAAATTATCATTCTGTGAGTGAGGTAGGCCAACTGCTGCTCTCTGGGGAAAAAATCACAAAAAATTTTGGGCTCACAAACATTCAGTACAGTCATTTCTGAATAAAGTTTCCAGAAGTTAGGTTTTATCTAACATATATTTTTATGTGACTAGAATCCTTAACTTTTATTTCCTATAAAACAGTTCCCATATGCAGATACTAATTTTGTAGATTGTAATAGATATGAATGTGATTCAGTCCCTAAATGAACTTCCCATACTATTTTGTTTATCTGTTATCAATGAATAACTAATGAACTGTATTATCTAGAAGGACTGTGAGCTATTTTAGGCAAGATACTAGTCGGAATCTTAAGTATTTCCAATTTGTTTTCCTATGGTGTGTTTATAGACAAACTGGTGAGATACAGACTGTAAGATGGGTGACACACCTACCTAAAGAAAACATGATCAACAGTGCCATGTCCTGCTGGAATAGTGTCATCCCTTGGCAAGTTCACAGGCAATACCAGATTTGAGGGATTGTTGAAGGAAAGCTCTCAGAGGATCTCAGCAGGTTGCAAATTGGATCAACAAGAAATGTATGAAGTTCAACAAAAGCAGTTGCAGCCCCACATCCAGGATGTAATAACCCCATATGCCAACACTGCTGCAAAGCAGCTTGACAGAAACAGAGCTGTGGGTCCCAGTGGACAACAAATGGAATGTGAGTCAGTCATGTGCCAGCCAGCCACATCCCAGGTGGTTATTACCAACAGGACAGTCAGCAGAGTCAGGGAAGTGATCCTTCCCTTCAGTTTGGCACACGGGAGGTCACATCTGGAGTCCTGTGTCCAGTTTTGGGCTTGCTCAAGAAAGGCATTGACATGTTGCAGTGAGTCCAGCAGAGGTGCACCAGGATGGCCAGGGGCTGAAGCACCTGATGCAGAAGGAGAGGTGGGAAGAACTGGACTTGTACAGCGTTAATATTAGAGGGCATACAGGAGGAACTTGCAGTCTCCAACTACCAAATGGGATGGTACAGAGACAAGAGAGCCTGACTCTGAGCTCAGAGATGCACAGCAATAGAGTGAGAGACAATGGACACCAGATGGAGCACTAGAAAACTCAATTAGCTGTTATGAAAAATGCTTTTACTGTGAGAATGGTCAAATACTGAAACAGTTGCCTAGAGAGGTGGTGGAATCTTCATCCTTGGAGATGTTCAGAACCAAGCAAACTCCTGAGCAAACTGGTATAATTGGACTTGACTTTGAGATGGACTAGATGACTGATTATCAGAATTCCAATTAAATTACTCTGTGGTATTATTCCTAAATTATCTGATATCAGATAGTGACATTAATTTACTTAATACCATCCAAAAGGCAAAATTCTGTTTAATTCTTCCATGGAAGTGCAATACCCAGGAACATTTTTGCTCTTGGAGAGTAACTGTGCATTGTAAATTTCTGCATCCTCCAGGCAGCCTGATTTTCTAAGAAGGTCGACAGAAAATTATGCTGATTTTGTGGTGAAATTTTATTGATATTTAAACAGTTCTTCAGATGACAAAGTTACCTAATCTGTCAAAGGGTTGCGATTTTTAGGGGTCTTTTGTTATTATTAACAAGGTCCATCTTTAAATGTGCAGAAATAAAAGCAGTTTATTAGAATATACTGATAGCACACAATGCTGTTGGTAGGTTCTTGTAATACATGTGGTCCTTGTGTAAATATCCTCAATACGTTGGGGTTTTTTTAGTTGAAGACTGTATTTTTCCTGGGATTCTTCACTAGACTGCAAGGCTGTAATTAATTATCTAGGAGGAGACCTAAGCTTCTCATGAGAAAGCTAGAATGTCACTTAAATATAACTATTCAAATGTGAGATGCCCTACAGCAAAAATTAAGGAAGCTTTTTGCTCTCCATGTAATGAAAAGGCTCAGTTTTAGTACCTGTACAGCACTTTTACTGATGTTCTTTCCCACAAACATAGTTGTCAAATGAATTATTCCATAATTCTTCTTCATGGTCTTTGCAGTCTCCTGTTGTCACAGGCCTTGTGTCACTGATGTGTGAGTCAAAAATAATGAAGTAAAGAGAAATTTTGAAGGGTAGTCATGCATGTAAGCAACTTGTGACTGAAGTGCCCAGCCCACATAATCATCTTCAGTTCTTCTTTTTCAAACCAAAGGGAGCAAAGCCAAAAAAATCTCTATCTGCTATTACATTTCTTGGTACATTAAGTAGGTGTTACTTAAGTGATAAGTTTCGTAAATACCTGGGTTGAACAGGAAAGAAAGACAATGCTTTAGAACAGGTTGGGATTTTCAGGGTTCTTTAACACTGTAATTGCTTTCTCACCTTTCTGTCCCTTGTCTGAAGCCAAGAAGCTGAAGTGCATCAAGGTAATCTCTTGTTTGAGGAAAAAAATTGAAAACATAACTGCTTTTTTAAATAAGGCCTAAACTTTTAAGGCTTACTGCTGAATCCTGTGGTATTAATTCACTGGCATTGTAATTTCTAAATATTTCCTGTACGAAGAGATAATATACCTTCTGGATTAATAGTCTTCATTCCCTTCAAGATTTTCTACACAAAACAGCAATGAAAACTTTTAAAAGAGGAACATCTATGAATTCAGAAATAAATTGAGAATTTGCCAGTATCACTGCTACACAATTTCCTACCTCTTACACACTACCTGTTATTTTCTTTTTCTTCAGTTACACATTTTTATGATACCTCGTTCCAGCAAAAAAAGAGGAACACTTAAATCTATTAAACCTCAGACATCTGCAAGATGGTCAGGCAGAATTCTTTTACTCCTGGTAGGCATTCATTAACTTCCATGTCTTTGAAAGACGTGACTCAGAGAGCATGACATTGTAGAAACAAATTACTACCTTTTGAAGAAGTATTTATGTTATTATGTATATGTGTCTCAATCAATTGTCAGTCTGTAGCACATTTACATGAAAACAGATTTATACACAACAGTTTGAGTCTGTAACATCCTGTCATCTTTCAGGGTTATGCTTATTAGGGAGGTCTACTGAGGAAAGCATTTCTCTCCCTGTTAACATTACATTTAATAGATCATATGGCAGACTTCTTACTGAGTCAAAGAAATGTATCCCTGGTATTTTCTTATACCAAAGAATATCAAGAATCTGTATTCATTCTCGACCTTTGAAAATGAAACAAGTATCTCTAGAAGATCAAGTTTGGCTTAGTGTCTTTGGGCAATATTATCCCCTTCTTAAATTCCTAGGATTGATTGGGAACTCTTGACCTTTAAAGCGCATACTTCCACAGCTTCATTAAGGCAGTTACGCTTTGGGTATTTCAGACTGGGGCTGGGCAGCAGTCAGCAGCAGCAGAGGGTGCCAGCTCCCGGGGGACGGCATCGTGAGCGGAAATGGACAGCACTTGGGAATTGTGGAACAGTGAGTGAGAGGCTTTTAGCAGCAGCAGAAGTAGGTACGGCTCTTCATAGGTGTTAGACCCTCTGCAGCTCTTTTAAGCCCTCTGCTGACAACACAAGAACCACAAACTTTCTTCCACAGAGGTCATTTTGTGGAGTTCCCTGGGTTTCTTTCCTCATTGATAAGTTTTCCATAACAGTAAATACCTGTGGCTTTTGTTTCTTGGTTTTTCTTTTAGAGAGAGAAAGACTTTTTCTCAGGGTGTTTGACCTAGGTTTAAAAAAAATGAATATTTCAATCAGCTTACCCTTTAAAGGATGAAGAGGACAAAAACTCCCAGCAAATTTCATGCTCATGAAAGGAGCAAAAGGCAAAAGTATTAAATGCAAGAAGTTAGGATTGATCATGGAAATAGCTTTTACTCAAAAACTTACATGTTTTCACAGACTGTGCCCTTTTTGAAGATACTACAGAAATAACCACAGTAAAAGAGAATGCCGCTTTGACTGTAGCAATAGAATCAACTTTGTTTGACCATGAATAATTGAAGTCTTTGTGTTAATGCTCCTTTTAAGGGAGTAGTGGATCAGTAAATGTAACTTAATTGCAGGAAAAGTCTTATGGATGGAATTTATGACTGTATTTCAATGAAAGTCTTTTCATTTTTCCTTTTGGTTCAATAGAAAAAGGATTACTTAGATTATTCAGTGTTGCAGCTGAAACTGTTAGCAATTCCCAGTGGTCCTGTTTTTCATGATTTTAGAGATTCATATTGTGGCATGCAAGTCTTGCTTTCTTATTCAGTTCTTTGGAAGAATTTGTTTCTTTGTGCATTATTGTTAGGTAATGCTTGACTTCTACAAGGGAATTTACATATGCAGTGTATATGTGGGTTTTAAACGGGGTTGTTACCTAAGTGCAGTGGTCCTTTTTAGAAAAAAAGGTTGAAAATATTGCCACTGAGTTCTCTCTGAGCCCTTGAGAGAGGGTTGATTCTGTGCCCAAGCTTTCTTGCCCTCCCCTCTGCCGGTACAGGGCCGCAGATACAGGAGACCTGTCACTCTGTTTCACAGGACTGGTTTCCAGGCAGTGTAAACACAGATT